TATATATATATATATATATATATATATATATATTTTGCAAGGAGGCCGCAATAGTGACCTAACCGTGTTCATCCAGACGACAGGTAAGATTCAAACGTCCCCGGGATGCCTCACCTTCCCACGAAGAGAACACACGAGAATGTGACCGTAAAAGTATATTTGAACCACCGGGCTATGTCTTGAAGACCTACTCACAGAAGCGAAATCTTGGTTGGTGATTCTAGACAGGTCGGCCGTTCAAAGTAATGCTTGGAAGGTCCTAAACCGGGAATTAACACGTAGATATGTTGCAGAGGGCCTCCGGATACTACGAATTTTCCAACTTCCCACAACTGCTCGAGGCATATGTGATGCCCCAAGTGGAGTACGTAATTCAGGCCTGGTATGCATGACGCAAACGTCATTTAGCTGCACTCGATAATTCACCGCAAAGCGCAACAAAAAGTTAAATTGCAGGTTTTATTTGTCATGCTAATTTCGAGTGAAAGCCATAAGAGTGTGTAGTGGAAGTTGTTCTCATCTACGCGGTGACTTCATACAGGATAACAGTTGTGAAGAATCCCAAACACCTTTGGAGCCACCTCCTGAAGCTTAGTCACAACACCCAACCAAGGACCGCCATCTAAAGTTGACACATAATAAAGCCCGTTGATGTGCCGCTGGAATATTTGTGCCGCAAATTTTAAAGCTATCATAGACTGTTCCGAGAGATGTTGGTTCCGTCCCCACGCTATGCATTCTCCTAAAAAAGATCGACTCGACGACGCGTTCATCAACTGATGACAAACCACAAATAAACATTGTGCGCACTATTCCCCAGCGAGATCGGGGTAAGCGAATGTACTAGTGTATTAACGTGGATATTGTGGTGAGACAGCGGATTGGTAATTTGCCTAGTTGCAAATTCCTCTTTAGAACTTATACACTGCAGGCAGACCATCCTACGGGAATCGTCAGTCTTTAGGCTTTGTTAAGTAGCACGAATCAATTTGATTCAACTATTCCACGCCATCTTATTAGTAGGAGCATGCCTCAAGTCATCAGTGGGAAATGCTCTTAACGGATAGCTCGAATGACTATCCCTGAGAATGCAGGCAACTAGGGTCATGTGGTTCTACTTGTCATCTAGGCAGTTTTTTAGAACCTGGACGGGTGTCAGCTAGTAAGGGATAGTTCATGAACGGTAGGCAGTAGTCGAAACCGATCTAGGCGGAACTAGAATTTCACGTGTGCAACACGACGGCAATGAGCGTCACACTTTGATATGAGATAAATGGATGTATTCAGAATTTCCGCTAGCTCTGCTAGCGCAAGCTGTGGTTTATGCTATGGACGAGGTTAAGGGGAGAAACCGAATGAAATGATGCTGTGTACTGACGAGCAGCATAAGCCGTAAGAATTTGCGAACACGCAACCGAGATGGTAAAATATGCTCTGGAGAAGCAAATGTTGTCCACCTGAACGCAGGATATTTTGTAGATTATTTACGGAATGCAGGCGTTTATAAGCTTCAGAGCATCCAACCACGGGCTTTGCGTCCAAGATCACTGTACCTCATGTATGTCCGTATGCTCACACAAAATTTTCGTTGTACACTGTTCCTTATCATCGCGGCTCCTTTAAGATGCACTTTTGAACGAAAGTACACTCACATACTTATCATGGGTAATTTCAACATACATTTTGTAGAGTCTCCAGCCACCATCGGAGAACAATTCAAAGCAGATCTACAAGACCTCGTAACCACTGTTTCTCTTTACAATCACATCACTTAGCCCACTCTGTTCAGAACAGATAACAGGCCATCTGTTCTGGATCTTGTGCTTACCAACAAAGAGTGTATGATCGCTGTGTTGGTTGTAGACTACCCGTTTAGTCGCAGTGATCACGCAGTCTTCAGTTTCAACTTCGTCTGCTATGCGGAATATCCGAATGAGAACGATGAGACTATAAACCATCACAAGCTACGATAGATTAGCCCACCTGGTTGTTCCTTGCCAAAGAACCCCCGGAAGTCACCTGGCTCGAGTTCGTTAACAAATTCAGTCAGCTGATTGCAGAGGCTTCATCGATAAAAGTTTGCAATAAGTGTACATCAGTTTCTTTCGTTAGGAGCAGAACTCGAGAATAGATGACAGTACACAACGCAGCAGGGCGGAGTGTACAGAGAAGTTCCAGCACCATAAAGTTGGGACAACTACGTAGCGCAACGTAACCACTGCACTCAACTGCTAAGAAAAGACAAAGCCATCCATCAGCAGAACTTCGCAATAACCTTCAGTGCTAACCACAAATTGCTGTACAAGACGTCAATAGCCTACGAAAGGTGATGCAAGGATTTCCTGCACTCAGGACGGCCGATGGACCAACATAACGGCTGTGGAAAAATCAAAAGCGTAACGGATGCAATACGTCCCTATGTTTCAGAGGGTCTTGCCACCAAGCCATCTACCAACCTTTGTCGCCTCCTGGCCATAAATAACCCCCATCACTTTCCCCCCGGAGGCCCTGTTGCAAAAACTGAAGTTGCTACGCAAACACAGCTTGCCGGGTCTCGACACCATTCATCCAGAGCCAATGGAAGCGGCAGCAAGTCAACTGGCAGGATCTTTAGCTCAGTTTTTCCAGAGCTGCTTAGACCAGAACCAAGTTCCCGCCATGTGGATGCTTGAAATAATGACCCCGATTCACAAAGGTGGAAGCAGAACTGAGCCCTCCAACTACCATCCAGTATCCCTACTTCCTACACTGTTCAAGTTCATGGATTCCATAGTTGCCGATGCAAGATTGTGTTAGTTGCACCTCTGTCACGTCGTCACGCCTGAGCAGCACAGCTTCCGTCGACAGCGGTCATGTACAACAAATTTACTAATTGCACGCAGTAGTTGGACCGAGGCGGCTGACGCTGGAGAAGGTGTTGATGTGATCTACCTGGATTTTTCTAAGGCTTTCGATCGTCTAGACCATCGGATACTACTCTCCTTGCTCCAGCATTACGGAATCTGCGACCCTCTTTTAAGCTGGGTTGCCAACTTTCTACTTCAAAGTTAATTAGCCGTCACAGTTCGGAGCTTTGTCGGACCCCATACAAGTCGAGTATGGTGTGCCGCCAGGCTCAGTTATAGGTCCACGTGTGTTTGGGGTGTTGAATAATGATTTTGCACAGGGAATCACATCACACTTCCTAATATTTGCCGACGATATCAATATCTGGCGCAGGAGCCAGGTGAACGCTGACCAGCATGTGTTTCAGAGTGACCTAGATATGGTATACCAATGGTTAACCTAAAAGGTACTGCATTTCAACGTCAGTACTTTCCATCCGACATCAGAGCAGCTACTCATACCGGCTCGAAACGAATGTACTGCAACAATCAACTGTCGAACGTAAATTGGGTGTTCTGATTCATGATGACTTGGATTGGTCCAGGCAATCCGAAAAGACTTTGAAGACTGGAAACCAACACGGCGGGTTGTTGCGAAGGGCGTTTGGACACTATACTGCTCCATACTTCGACAAATGCTCAGTGCATATGTTCGCACCCATGTCGAAAACGCAATTCAAGCCTGGCATACATGGCTGAAATACGACCTTAATACACTGGAGCATCCACAACGGCTGGCATCTAAGAACGTAATTGGAGTGCGCACTCTTTTATAGCAGTAAAAGCCTTTACGATTGGGGGTAGTCAGTGGAAGCTATCGCAGACCACGAGGCGACCTGATTATGGCCCACTTGATTCTACATGTCCCACATAATGTGTGCCGCTTCTTACTAAGTAGCAATACAAACCTGAGGGGCCACTCATTGAAACTCGCTGAAGAGTATAGCCGCATGGAGTGCCGCAGAAATTTATTCTCCATTCGTGTCTGCCACTCGTGGAATGCTATCCAAGAATCGGTCGTCTCTGCACTGACACTAACAGTATTTAAAAGACGGTTGGATGATGCACTCATCGACTTACACTTTGTCAATTAGCACTACGCCTCCATCCGACATCTGAAGTTTACTATGGAATTAGTTGATGTTAACTGCGGGTGCTTTGAATTTAAGCGGATTGCAAGACTAAGCCGGAGCAAACCATAAGTCCTTTTCATATTTAATCTACTAACTTTTGCACTAGCATTATTATCATTATTGTTGTGTCGATATCCCCATCGACTATCCAACGGGACTTGTAAAGCAACGCTCCTTAACCTGTATAAATTCATTTTCATTTTCATAGTTCACTTATCTCGGTAGACGCTGGGTAAATGACTTACATTCCCTGATTTCAACGAATTCACCCAAACCATCCTACGGGACGAGTCAAGCATTTACTTTTATCTTGTGCTAGATCATTGTTTAGTTTCATAATATGTTATTACGAAGGTATAAGTTAGGGTTTCGCTAGCACATTCGCATACCTGCCTGGAGTTAAGACCGATTTGTTTGCGCTATGTTAGCGTATCCGAAGGATGTAGTACGAGCTATGTCCAAATACTGCTTTATTTTTGCCCTCGATTAGTTTATTTTACGCACACTGCTAGGTAGCACTCGTTGGCCAGTCATGTGATCTTGCATTTGATTGATTGCAGTTAGAAGGTCTATCTCTTTAATACTAAAGCGCATATGGACAAACAGATTTTTCCATACATACGTGCCGGTGCTGCTCTGGTCTACTGCTTTTTCGGGATACAACAGTGAGCAATTGTCGTCAAGATTGTGGTCGCCATCCTTGACTGGACAAAGCCTCTGGTAAAACGTACGCAGGGTACTTAGTTGCTAGGCAAGCTGAATTTTGCAACAAATACAATACAGGAAGTTGCAAGAACAAATCGAAAAGGTGAAAAAAATCCGGCTTTTAGCGAGTAGGGTGACAAAATAGGGCCCACGTTTGCAGCCATTATTAGTTTGGATATTAAACACTGCCGGCGGTACCGTAATTCTCCAATATTTCGGTAACTACTTTGTTCAGAGCAAGTAAAATTATAACTCAAGAACTCGGAAGGCAACTTACTCGAAGAGTTGTGCTATTGCAAGAAATTACGTCGCTGACTTCGGTTTCTTTCATTATCGTCGGTGAACGACATAAGGTAGGCAGCAAGAACAACGTGAAGGCTATTTGCTTTCCTGCAATGTACTTCAAAGAAACAGAAGGCATTCTGCATTACAATACACCCTACCTCAACAGTTGGATGTTCAATGTTGAAGAGCGTATGCCAGTTGACGCTATATGTTCTCGTATTGAATATGTTCACGGACCTATCCACGATGGCCGTGAACTCCGCACTGACACGCTCTGGCGCAGTCATCGCTCGGCGGGGAATGAATTCGCCAATACGAAAATACTGGCAATTTTTCATTATCAGGTCTTCAGAGGCTTTCGTATTTCCTTTTCTCTTTACTGAAGTTTCACAGCTAGCCACAATCTGAGGTTCCAGTTAAAAGTATAAACGTGAGAAGGACGTGAATATATCATATAGTAACGGCCCCGGAATTAAATATGTAAGATGAATGATAATTAATCTATGTGACAACATGCTCATCGCCTGTCTTAGACACATTGTTAATATCGGGGTGGATCACAGAGATTAGAGTCTATTTTAATTGGAAATCCCAGTGGAACTGCTTAACAATAGAATGGTCCGTGCCCGTAAACCGAGGGCATGGATTCGGGATGCGTGATAGAATAGTACCCACAGACAAGTCAGAAACACTTAACCCAGTAAAGAGTGAAGATGAGATTGAAAAATATGTGCAAATGTGCGCATCGGCAAGAATTTCCCCTTATGTACACATTCCTATCAAGGCAATGGCTTCAGGATTCCAAATGCTCTTTTCAAAGTAATCTTCGGGCGTACTGATGTCGTAAAACCTAAAAATGGACCTATCGGATACCTAACATTGTGGACATCCGTAAAACACAGTTATACTTACCGGAGCGCCGAGTCCCAGGCAAACATCAGCCTGTCCTCCAAAAAAGTATGCTGCCCCTGTCCATTTTACGCATCTTGTTGGCTTTAGTATGTGCGTAAATTTGTATTCACGATTTCCAGAATGCTGAAAGCGCTATAGTTATGAACTCTTGAAGAACTTACCTTGAATTCAAAATTTTCAACTAGATGCGTCTCAAAGAATACCATTTGATCTGATGCTAAATTGAACACGTGTTCAGCACGTCTCATCAGATGCTTGAAATATCTTGTTGGCATGAAGTCAAGTTGTTTTGTTTGCACATAAATAGGTGTCTTGAGCGGAATTTCTTGACATCCCTCTACTGTTATTTCTTCGAAATCTTCCCAAGGTTTACTCCAAACACGTGCTCTGCAAGCAAGTACGTGCTAAAAAGCAGACGGTGCGTAAGGTGCATAGGAGGCCGGGTTGCTGTCTGGCCTAAGCGACCATTCGATAAAACCATTCAGCAAATAATCCTTGCGAAAAAGCTATACTGATAAACGCAGGGAATACAGGAATATGATCCTTCTCGTAGGAGTTGGACCATGTAAGGAAGACAAGCACTGACAATGTTTGCAACGCTGCTTCAGTTTATACTTCGTGACATTAGTTAACTGAGTAAGTGGCCAGTGCAGCAGAGGAGACATCGTTAATTGTCACGATCCCTATTGATTTGACAAAGCAGGAGGGGCTTTAGTCAAGTGACACTGCAGATGCGCAAAATTTGATGCATCTGAGAGAGATTGGGTGTCGAGAAGAACAGGATTGATGTTTGCACCATGTGCCGGTAGATCACACAAACATTTAGCTACAGTAAGAGTGCACGCCTAAGGATAACGCAAAACAGCCAGGACTTTACGCTGAAAACTCTCGAGAAGAATTCCAAGGTTTCTTGAAGGCACTATAGACAAGCAACTTACAGCTAGTGACCCTATAGTATGCACTGTACAAGGCTACAATCGCAGTCGGCTAGAGGATGCCATATAGTTGGCAAGTGAAAGCTTCACTGTACCTCCAAATAATTATTCGTTGAATGAGTTGAAAGGCTTGCATTTGCGCCAAAACAACAGAAAGAGCGAATCGAACTCACTGAACCCAGGGAGTGACTTCGCTTAGCTCTAAAACAGTGAGTGTGCTTATTACAGGGGCATGATGTTTGGTACCGGGTAAGGCACAATCCACAAGGAAGAAATTACCAGATCTCGAATCCTAATGCGTGGTAGGAGGAAGAGATATACGACAGCATACAAAACAATCCTGCTGACAGCACTATGCTTAAAAGTGGTGTTATTGAGTAACCGATCAGGACACAATCACTAGCCATACACAGTCTTCTGCAAATTTGGGAATCAACATCTCTAAATCTCATCAAGACGTACATCCAGTATTTGTGAAAGGCGCTTCTGAATATCTGTTGATGTTCATATGTATGATTAAACGAATTATTCGCACTGGTCCACTTGGAAGATGAGGCCTGAACATCGGGCCATTGGTTGACAGCCTCAAAGCTTTTATGGTCATTTTAGGGCCCAGAACGTCTATGGTTGATCGCAGTTAATGTAAGACAAACCAGAAAAGATACGTCTCCGGCTGCTAATATTACCACCACAATCGTTAGGATCAGCGCTTTCCAGTAAACATGTATGCATATAAAGTGTTTACTAGTCTAAAGAAAGGCGATGGAGATCTGACAAAATACTGGTAGCTCAGGTTGAGTGTTTAATTGCCGCGATATTCACCTAGCTACTCACTTCACCCGCCAATGTTTCGTCACCAGTCGAGGTGATGTCATCAACCCTTGGGGGCAAGCAATTTCATATCAAATGCTGGTTGAAAGCAACTACAGGTATGTAAATCGTTTGCCACTTATCGATTCCTCATATGCGCTTTCGGGGTCAACTCCAGTGGATTGTTCATAATGATTACCCATTGTGTACCGCACTTGTGATTGGGCAATTGCCATATGCTACAAGCATATCATTGCGACATGGATTCTCGCACTGATCGATGTCGAGACCATGGACACAACATTGAGGTTCGCGTCGAGTGTCCTGCTCTACTTTCGACCTGTGTCGTTTAAGCCACATAAGCACTTTCTGTCTCACTTGTTGTTATACGGGATCGATGTCGATGCGCATGTGGAATGAATTGTTTGTGGATAAGCAAGCCTTGAGGACCATTTTGGATTACACCTTGTGTGATTGGATTGCGACGCGCAATCTCAATGTGGACCGAGATTCACATCGAAGTGAAACTTTGTCGCTTCGATCGACCGTAGCCGAAGCAGTTGGAAATTATTTGTTGCCTGCCCGAATACACTGCACAAGCACGAAGCTGTCTGCTGTCTCCACCTGAAGAGATAACATGATATCTAAACGCGTCGTAGTTGTGCAGGGTTTTCGAGCGAGTAATACCTACTTTCCATCCGCAAGCCTTGGGGAATTTAATCCCTTTTCGTGTTCCTTTTTGAGTTAGGAGCTCTGCTCTTTTCCAGTCGAAGCTATGTCGTTCTTCATCCAAGTGTGCAGAGACTAGTGAGGTTGCAAAACGTTTTTCTCGTACTTTTTGCTGTGCATGCAACTGTGTTTATAATTTCCCTGCTGTTTATAATAATATTATTGTAGATTCTCGAAATAGTGCTAATCACAAGTTCGGCGATTTATTTTATATACCAAATTTTGCCATTCTGCGCTTTTTGTCTGCCATTTGGTCTTGATAGTGTTTTCAAAGTGGGTCGTAGCATTCCAGTGGCAATGCTGATTTTTTCTTTGTTGTTTTCCAAGCATTCTGCAATGATGTTATTTGCTAGCTGCAAGTTAATAGACTTAAACAGAGCAGTTAAGTCAGTAGATACCATAGTTTCATCACGAGCTACTCGCAGTTTTGTGCTTCGCTAGAGATTGCTGAGCATTGCTTACAGTGTGTTGTGATCCAATAGGAGAACACTGCCAAAACTAACAGGTGGTAAAGGAGGGCAGGAAAGGCGAAATGTTGTGTACAAAATGAATTACCGAACTAGTGATAAGCAAAATCTCGAATAAACGGCAGGGAAATTATCAGCACAGATGGACGAACACCAAAGTGCATGTGAATAACCTCACTAGTCTCTGCACACCTGGATGAAGAACGATAAAGATTCCACTGGAACCGAGCCCAGATCCTAACTCAAGCAGCAATACAAAAAGGGATTATCTTCCTCAAGGCTTGATTATCCACAAACAATTCATTCCACATGCGCATCGATATCTATCCCGTATAACAACAAATGAGACAGAAAGGGCATAGACGGATTAAAAGCCATAACTCGAAAGTAGAAAATCCGCTACTCTGCAATGAGCAAAACACTCGAGGAGAACCTCAATGCTGTATCCATGGCTTCGACATCGATCCAAGCGGGAGAATCCAGCCCATGTCGCAATGACATGTTTATTAGCATATGGCAACTGCCCAAACCCAAATGCGGAGCCTAATGAGTAATCAATCTGAACAAGCCACTGGAGTTGACATCAGATGCGTATATGAGGAATCGGCAAGGGGCTAAGGAATCACATGCATGTGGTTGTTTTCCACCATATTTTACTATGAAACCACTTACTCCCATGCGCTGAGGCCGTCGCCTCGACTGGTGACGAAACGTTCGCAGGTAAACTGACTAGCCAAGTGGGCACTGTAGCAGAGAAGCTACAGGAAAAGTTGAAAAACTTATTTACTCACCCTTAGCCTACTTCTAGTGTGCACTGGTCTTTTTGCATCTTAGGTATGGCCTCAGTAAATATCGGTTACGAATGACAGGTATGTCTAAAGTAGCATGATAAATGGCCGCGTGACTTGGAAATACACGACGGACGTTCAGCATAAAATGGCACTCAAAACTCATCCAAGCTAGCATGTGCTCATTAACGTTCCATGGGCTATGTTGTTTTAAATCGAAAAAGAGATTAAAAAATAGCACTATGACAGAAAACGTGGTGCTCGGCTAAGAATCTGTGTAAAAAGTAATGATAAGATGGGCCTTTACGTGCTGGCCCTACTGTGAAAAGCTAAAACGTGATGCAAATAAGACTCCAACTGCGTTATTATCCAAGATATAATGAGACATCAGACTAACCGTTTGGTTTGGTATCCCGCACTCGTAGTCATGCACGGTGTCAAACAGTCGAGTAGACTGCGTTTTGTTGCACTTCGTTCGTTGCAAATGAATATGAAGTACCGTCAACTTTCCTGCTACCACCTATGAGAGATCGTCAAACTATACAACCATCTGATGTGTAAATACCTGTACAGTTGCATTAACGATATGCACAAGACGATGGTAATGGGTGTCCTCCGTCAATTGGTTGAATTTACTAGTAACCCGGTTAGTTAGCTCAAGGAACTCTTCCGTATCGCGTTCATCATCTGTTAGAAGTCTGGGTTTTCCGACCAACATTTTAACCGGCTTCATTTGCTTCTGTGAACAATTGGTCACAAATACTTGACCTTCGTTTCCTTCACTCGGGCCCATGTGTAACACATTACATACTCGAATCTGAAATAGAAAAAAGGATAGTCAGTTTACTGTACTTCCTGTGTATTATCAACAATTGATTCAAACACACATGGAAGGTAAGTGACTCACTGGTGTCGTAGTTTTGCATAAAACTTGTCTTAGCAATAAAGGAATAACATGAATCAGTGCCAGTTTTTCACTTTCAATATTCTACGAGAATGACCGAGAAGTTTAAACCAGTTCACAGTTCCGAACACATTGTGAAGTTTTCCAGATCGTACTTCTAATTGTCCATGGTCAGCCGATAATTTCATTCATGTGTAAGTAGTTGGGCATTTATTGGGTAAGTTGTGCAGCTTCGCCGCTGTTAGAAGCAGGTGGACGGCTACCACACACCTAGGAAAGCACTTTCCTGGATGCTTCGTGACTGTCTGTCTAAGTCTATCTGCGATGAAGCTTCACAAAATGATTTCATTCATCTGATGCCTCTAATCAGAGATATGTCTAATGTGCCGAAGTGCACAATCTATTTGGTGCAGAGGCCACCAGTGAGACTACCGATGAGACTGCTACTAAATGAACCCCTAAAAATCATGTGGCGTACTGAAAACTTGAAGATAAATAATGTCCAAGTAAGCAACAAATGTAACTAACTACCATGTGGGTCCTGTTTGCTCACGGACTCCTTGTGTCAAAACAAGCAAATGGGCATGTTGTTTCTTTACATCATTAAAATGCGCTTATGGTTTTTGGAACTAAAGTCCCCCACAATCCCACCTTCGGCCATAAAAGCATAATATTACTTCTGCTGATTGTGTAATGTTTGATTTATATAATTTCTTTTTTCAATGTGTTATTACACAGTATTTAGGCGAGGTAGCTGGGGTGTTTCCTACATACAGATAACGTGTAAAAGGATGGAAGTCACTATAGGACCACAGAAAACTGCCTCATCACCTGTTTATTATAATTGAGCTGTCACTCATTATGACCCATTCTTTTGTGCTCTACTAGTTTAATAAAAAACCCATCGCTTTACACTGGAGTAATGGTTTATGACAGGTAAAAAGTCAATGTTTGACAAATCTTGTAGGATGTTTAGGGTTAAGTTGCTAGATAAAAACCAGTGTTGCTAAAATGGGTGCACCATTCAACAGGCTTTCAGTAGCACAGCTATGAGTAAGGCTGGCTTAATTTTAGAGTGATGGAGCATTTCTGATGGACAGAAACCGAATGCTCGACATGCCCTGTAGGATGGTTAGGATGAAAATTGAAATAAATTACAAAATACAATGTCAGTATAAGATCGTGTGAAACGTATGACTTACCAAGGGGTTTGGAGTGGCACAAGTGCGAGTATTCTTATCTGGAGTTTATGAACTTCATGACACAGTCCAGTTTGTTGTGCATTAACGCCAGCATCTGCTGGTCACGGGTTATATCACGTGGTGTAAATGTGTAAAGGTAAAGTCAAGATGCTTTTGGAATAGGGATAATGTGGGAGCCTTTATTACCTGCACCAGAAGAGTGTTCAAGTTCTGTGACCCTCGAAGGGAGAAAAAGTTACACCAACATTCAAGTCGGCTGTACTGGGTGGCCAACTTAAACTGATGACCCCTCAGACATGCGTTTTGACTGAGATTCAAAAGCGCGTGGCAAGTGTGATTTAGGTTTCTCAGGATGAAACACCATTATGGACCTCTACGTAGACGCTGTTAACGGTTGCTGTAAATTTCTAGAATACTAATTCTGATTAGGAAGTTAAGGCGGGACGAACTTCAGTGCTCCTAGTCGCTCAGCGTTGTGCAGTACCGAGCATGGATTGGTGATGACTCCGCCAAGTTTGCATAGCGTATTCCGCGTGCGCTATCACGTACGCGCCAAGCATCTTCGGAACCATTGAGGCGTCAAACTTCCCGAACACTCTACGTAGTAGGCCGCAGTGTTGGTTTGCTTTCTTTGAGACCCTTTCAGTCTGACTTAAACACCGAAGGTCTTCTTGCCCATGCACGCCGAGATCGCACTCACGAGAAGCCCGCTGTACAATTTCTGGTCTTAGACGGCAGTTGTGAGTACTCTGATGGCGTATGCTCAGAATTTTGTAATTCGTTATGTTGAAAAGCAACATGTTCACTATGGACCATGTGTACGCTTTGTCCAGGTCATCCTGTAGGGCTGTGTGATCCACCACTGAGGCGTTAGTACGCCATATCCTCACATCATCTGCAAACAGCAGTTAGTTTGAAGACAACACATTTTCAATATCATTTATGAAACCAGGAACAGGCGTGGCCCGAGTACAGAGCCCTAAGATACGCCGCACTTAACAGGGTGCTGCAAACCCTTACATTCAGGTGGCATTGAACAAGAAAGTCGCCTAACCATCTGAGAACGGGATCGCCGATACCATAAATCTGAAGTTTGTGCAGTAGAATGCGACAATTCAGGCGGCCGAACGCCATTGAGAAGTCCAGGTAGGCTGCATCCACTCCTACATCGGCGTCCACAGATTCCGTCCAGCTTCCACCAACTATCAACGGATTAGTGGTTCAGTAACGATTTTGGTAAAATCCATGCTGCCCCGGAGCGAGAAGCTTGTTATTCTCCACGTACTCCATGCGCGCGTCAGCCATAATGGACTCCACGCTCTTGAAGATCACCGGAAGAAATGTAATCGGACGGTAATTCGCTGGTTCTGCAGGGATACCGCTTTTTAGGTTGGTGTGATGATCTCGTGCCTCCACACCTTTGGGACGTGAATCTCATTAACAAATCCCTGTAAGGGTGTTGCTAACGGTTCAGCTAAGATCAGGGCGGCAATTTGCAATGTCTTATGGCGAATACCGTACGCACCCGGTGAGCTGTATTTGCGAAAGGACATCAGCCGTTTAAATAGAGCTGCTGTTGTGAGATGTGGTTAACGCCTGATCACGGCATGGGGTACGTAGGCATGGTGTAGGATGGTTGCAAACTTTGGAAGTTACTGCCAAATTGTTATCCAAATACGTTGGCCCCTCTTTTGCCGTTTGTGCTAAACCGAATACTGCATGTAGAGTCCGAATTTCGCGCCTAACGCTGCGAAGTCTTTGTTTACGTGTCTGTATAGCAGCTTGAGGTTAGAGGAACATTTTACCACAATGTCTTGTTCATCCATCGCAATGAGGCTGGACCTTACCGTGGTGCGATGGTTTGCGTGCCTCCTTGATCCACTGAGCTATACTGGGGGATGCATTTTTGCACCTTCAGAGCCACTCATACCAGATTGGTCAATGGTTAGAGGCCAGACAAACCCAGCCTCCTGGTCCTCCAGGTTGGGGGTTGGAATGAGGGTGGCTCCTTATTGCTTAAAACGGACTCCTTGTAGCCCAATGCCAAACCCGCTGCCTTGCGGTCAGGTTTTTGAACCAAAAGCTTTGGTTGAGAACCCTAATCGTTCTCCTGTCTAGGCCTGGGCAACCTGACAGTATCCTGCCCACGCAATACTATGAATCTCACTTGAAACAAATTTCTGATGCTCTGGCCACCGCAGAGGATAATCAACGGTACCCTATCTGCTGCATCAGGCAGGGTAGATAGGGGTTTGGATGCAACTGTTCAAGCCTTCCCGTCTTCTTATTCCCCTTCTCGCGCTTTTTCACCGTTATCGTCCCGTTCCAGCTTCACTTTTATCCCCCTGTTTTCAACCCCCCAATTCTCGGCCCTCCCCCACCTTGCTTCAATAGTCGCTTGCCTTTTAGTTTCAACTCACATGTGAACGCTGAGCGTCATTCCTGCCATGTTAACAGGCCCATGTAAAAGCAGGCGGTCCATTCCAGTTCATCGGCTTCCATTTGGAGCGATCGATCCTCCTTCAGATTGGCATACCTCAATGTTCGCACATTGCTTCAGATCGGTCAACAGGCAGCACTTGCTCGAACATTAGAGACCCTCTCGATCGATATCTGCTGCTTATCGGAAACCCGCCTGCAAGACTCGAGCTCTGTGCTCACTCTACGATCCCCTTCAGGTGACACTAGCAGTACTTTCTCGTTGCGCCTATCCGGTGACGATGCAGCTGCGAGCACCGCCAAGCCGGTATTAGTATTGCCCTGAGCCTCCGGGCTGAAGCTACTCTGGTTGATTGGATCCCAATCAGTAGCCGGCTGTGTGCGGTCCGATTGGCTGGCTCATTCAAAGCTTCGAAGTCACGTGGAACTAACAGGTGTCTATTCGTTATCGCTTCCTATGCGCCCACAAACTGTAGCGATGATTCGTTAAAAGACGACTTCTATCGTCAACTGACCTAGCTCCTTAGCCACAGAAGTAGCACGGACACTGTAGTGCTGGCTGGGAATCTGAATGCTCAATTTGGCAACTTATCCACAGATGAGCTGCATCTGGGCGGCCAACATGGTATAGGCTCCCGTAATGATAACGGTGAACGGTTACTTCATTTGTGTGAGGATGCTCGCTTATTTCTTGCGAGCACTAATTTCCGACGCAGCACCCGCCGGAGGGTGATTTGGCGCCCACCAGCCTCGAACCAGCTATGGACGCAAATCGATCACACTGCTATCAGTTACCACTGGAGAGGCTGCATCCAGAACTGTCGCTCGATTTGGAGCACAGGTGTAGACACCGATCATGCACTTGTATGTGCTGACCAGCGGATGCGTTTTGGCGGACGCCCACGACGACGTTGTGAGCGCATTGACACCAGCCAACTGGCGAAGCCAGCTGTTCTTTATGCCTATCACAGTACGCTGTCATGCGAGTTGGGTAAACGCTCACTGGATGCAATTGAAGCTCACTGGTCTCATATTCACCAGACCTTACTAGCAGCACGAAAATCCTCATGTGGTGTTTCTAATCACCAACATGGACATTGGGTCCCTTCACAGTCTTTGGAACTTATCGATGCTCACCGGCATATTCCGGCTGGAAGCAAACACAATGAAACTCGCAAAGAGCTCCGGTCAAAACTCCGTGCTAGCCTGAAGAGAGACCGCGAATCCTGGTGGTCTCGTCGTGCATCAGAGATGGAAATGGCCGCTGCCCTT